CGCACAGAGCCCAGTCATCGAAAAAATGAGTTGTTGAGGTCTTCATCAATAACGATGGACGAACATCATCAAGGAGAACAGCAAAGTGGACGAGCTCAGCAGAGATTTGATGCATCCACACAAATGGTCTCTGAAGGATCCAGTACTTCAAGATGTCTTTGGTCTTTGGGGGATCCAGAGAGATGTGTTCGCTGCCAGCAGGGACAGGAAGGACCTTGATTTTGCTTGAGACAAAGAACCCAATTTCAGATGCATTTCTCCTTAACTGGGAGCAGGGCCCATCCCATCCCATGTGTTCCCCACTTCCCAGCAGTACTGGAAAGAGAGAGATCAGGACAAGGCCAACGTAATTGTACCAGTCCCTGCTTGGCTAAGGCAGCAGTGGCACACAGATCTCCCTAGTGTCTCCAAGGGGAATTTCAAATGTCTGCCTGCAGTCCTGGGTTTGTTGTCACAGCAGGAAGGGAATATGTATCATCCGGGTCCTCTGGCCCTGTACCAAATGACTTGGATTGTAGGACTTTTACAGATGTGAAAAGACCTGATATGATGGAAGTACAACTGATTTTCATTAACTCTGGAAATAGACGTAGATTCCGCGCCATCTACGGGATACCAGTGGAAGCAGCAGAGCAGCAGCTGATATCAGTTGGCAAGTGCCCAGGAGAAATGAGACGGTGCCCCCCCCCTTCCCTCCTCCTCTGGGGTCTCGGTGCTGCGACTGCAGAGGCAGTGGACAGAGCTGAGGGGCAGGGAGTTCCCACGTCCAGTTTGTAATCTCCCTCGTGGGGAGGGGGCGCAGGAGCACTGTGGCGCTGCTCCGGGAAGGTTCCAGTGTCTGACCTGTGCAGGCCCAGCAGCGGGAGCATGCAGACAACATGGAGAACGCCAGTTATGAGTCAGCGACAGAGAGTCCTGTGGCACCTTATAGACTAACAGACGTATTGGAGCATGAGCTTTCGTGGGTGAATACCCACTGCGTCCGTTCTGTTACGTCCAATACGTCTGTTAGTCTATAAGGTGCCACAGGACTCTTAGTCTGGATCTGTAAAAAGTGACAAACACGGCTCCCTCTCTGATACTTGAGTTATGAGTCAGTAACCTCCATCTTATCACCCTTAGTGACTGGGTCTTCAAATCTGCGCTGACCTCTGGCACGGGCCCTGCTGTAACTCCAGCACCCGTTTATCGCCGCACTAGGGGCAGAGTTCCAATTTTGAAGGGTTTCTCTTTGGCTCCAATAGCCCCTCAGCCCTGCCACTAGCTGTGGCCATGTGCTCCATGCCAGGTCCCTGTTTGGCCAGTGGGGCGCCTGTCTGTGAAGCCTCTGCTGCTGGGTTTTTGTAGTATCCGTGGCACCACGAAAGACTGTACTTCCTCTGCATTTAATGCTAAGGCCCTTCTAGAAAGGAGCATTTTGCTAACGCTGTGTGACTGTCACTGGGGTGCTTCCCTCTCCCCTGGACATTGAGCCTAATTAGATTGTGGTCACTGTTACTTAGTGGCTCAGCTGCTGTCACTTCTTGAATTGGCTCCTGTGTGTTACTTAAGACAAAGTCAAGAATGGCATCAAAACGGCCAGACTGGGTCAGACCAAAGGTCCAGCTAGACCAGTATCCCGTCTTCCAACAGGGGCCAGTGCCAGATGCCCAGAGGGAATGAACAGAACAGGAAATCATCAAGTGATCCATCCCATCTCGCCCATTCCCAGCTTCTGGCAAACAGGCTCGGGACACCATCCCTGTCCATGCTGGCTAATAGCCATTGATGAACCTGTCCTCCATGAACTTATCTAGTTCTTTTTTGAACCCCGTTATAGTCTTGGCCTTCACGACATCCCTGGCAATAAATTCCACAGATTGTGTGTTGTGTGAAGAAATACTTCCTTTTGTTTGTTTTAAACCTGCTGCCTGTTAATTTCATTGGGTGACCCCTGGTTCTTATGTTGTTTACCCTGTTATATAATACTTCCTTATTTACTTTCTCCAAACCATTCTTGATTTTATAGACTTCTAGCATATCCTCCGTTAGTCATCTATTTTCCAAGCTGAACAGTCCCAGTCTTATTAATTTCTCCTCATATGGAAGCCGCTCCATACCTCTAATCATTTTTGTTGCCCTTTTCTGAACGTTTTTCAATTCCAATATATCTTTTTTGAGATGGGGCAACCAGAACTGCATGTAGTATTCAAGGTGTGGGTGTGACAAAGTGGGACTGTTCTTAATGTTTTCCTCAGTTTCCCCTATGCAGTTCTTAAGTATCTAGGTGGTGGGATAAGGGTGTATGGTTGCTGCAGAGCAAAGGGCCAGGGTACATAAATGCCCGACACTCTGTCTCCTAGCAACCGATGGCCTGGGCCCCTCCTCTGCAAAGGTGCCAACTGAAGGTGTTGGAGACAAAGAGATCAGGTGACCTCCTGGCCTGGGAAAGAGACAAAGCCCAGAGAGGGAGGGGCTGGACGGGGGTTGGAGTTTGGAGCTAGCTGGGGACTGGAAGGGAGGGCAGACGGGGGTCTGCCTCGCTGGGCCCCAGGATGGACCTGGTGGAGGGGTCCCGTTCGCTGGACCTACAAGCTCTGTTTTAGACCGTGTTCCTGTCGTCTAATAAACCTCTGTGTTACTGGCTGGCTGAGAGTCACGTCTGACTGTGAAGTGGGGGTGCAGGACCCTCTGGGTTCCCCAGGACCCCGCCTGGGCGGACTCGCTGTGGGAAGCGCACGGAGGGGCATATGCTGAATGCTCCCAGGAGAGACCTAGGAGGTGAAGCCGTGTGAGCTTCTTGCCCTGAAGACGGTCTGCTCCGAGGGAGAGGAGGCTCCCCAAAGTCCTGACTGGCTTTATGGGGAGCAGTTCCAGAGCAACGCCCGGGGACGCTGTGACAACGGGTCTACCGTGGATTTATATAGAGGCAATATGATATTTTCTCTTTTTTTCCTAATGATTCCCAACATTCTGTTCACTTTTTTGACTGCCGCTGCACATTGAGTGGATGTTTTCAGAGAACTATCCACAAGGACTCCAAGATCTCTCTCTTGAGTGGTAACAGCTAATTTAGACCCCATCATTTTATATGTATAGTTGGGATTATGTTTTCCAATGTGCATTACTTTGCATTTATCAACATTGAATTTAATCTGCCATTTTGTTGCCCAGTCACCCAGTTTTGTGAGATCCTGTTGTAGCTCTTCGCAGTCTGCCTGGGACTTAACTATCTTGAGTAGTTTTGTATCATGTGCAGATTTTTCCACTTCAGTGTTTACCCCTTTTTCCAGATCATTTATGAATAAGTTGAATAGGACTGGTCCCAGTACAGATCCTTGGGGGACACCACCATTTACCTCTCTCCATTCTGAGAACTGACCATTTATTCCTACCCTTTGTTTCCTGTCTTTTAACCAGTTACTGATCCATGAGAGGACCTTCCCTCTTATCCCATGACAGCTTACTTTGCTTAAGAGCCTTTGGTGAGGGACCTTGTCAAAGACTTTCTGAAAGTCCAAGTACACTGTATCCCGTGGATCCCCCTTGGCCACATGCTTGTTGACACTCTCAGAGACTTGTACTAGATTGGTGAGGCATGAATTCCTTTTTCAAAAGCTGTGTTGACTCTTCCCCAACAAATTGTGTTCACCTGTGTGTCTGACGATTCTGGTTTTTTACTATCGTTTCAACCAGTTTGCCTGGCACTGCGGTTAGGCTTACTGGCCTGTAATTGCCGGGGTCGCCTCTGGTTGGCCTTTCCTTGTAGGCACAAGAACTTGCTGTTCCAAGAAGCAGTCACTGAACGTGTTTAGAAATTGTTTCTCTGCACTTTGTGCCTTTGCTCAGTTTATCAGAGGGGCCAAGTGCTGAGTCTGGACCAGCCTCGCTCCTTGCCTGAGCCTGCAGGACAGTGTGGGGCTGACGGCCGCTCCTGGGACGCTCTTCGGGGGGTGAGAGTCCCAGCGTTCTCACCGTCTGCTTTTCCTACCTGACAGGGAAGGGCAGCCTCACCGAGAAGGGGGAGGTGACTGCAGCAGCTGTCTGCGCCACCTGCACAGTGCCGCCCCGGGGGCACAGGACGCTGGAGCTGGGCATGGCCTGGGACATGCCGCGCATTCACTTTGGCTCAAAGGAGAAGCTGCATCTAAGGTACGTGCCCAGATCCCCCGTGTGCTTCCAGGCACAGCTGCCACCCACCAGACGGAGCTGTGTGCCATGTGCCCGGCCTTCTCTCTCCATCACGCAACGTGGACCTGGCACCTCCTCCAGGGCGGGCATCTTGCATGGTCACCGTGCCCCTGGGACACTGCCCAGCTCCCCCCACCGCACCCCCCTAGCACGCACCCCAGCCTGGTCTCACATAGCCCCAGCTGGTCCCATCAAGGAGGAGCCGTGCCTGCTGGGCCATGTGGTTTGCAGACTCCTGAGTGGTGCCCATGCCTCGGGAGAGTCTGCCCAGCAGCCTGCCATCCCTCAGGCACCTTTGCCTGTATTGCCCATTGTTTAACTCTGAGACTCCATCACTGGGAGTCTTGATATCAAGGTTGGGCCCCGCTCTGTCTCAGCCCAGCACTGGGCCTGGTTCAAGGGCTGCTGGGTGGGGGCTGCAGCCGGTGTGCTGCAGGTACTCAGACTGGATGGTGACATGGGTCCTTTCTGGCCTCCTGGCTGCTTTTAATGGCGCACGGCCCGTCTGGGTGCCCCAGCCTTGGGACACCCCGTCCTAGCGCCCCTCGGCCAGGCCAGCTGCAGCCGCTGCTCCTTTCCCATCCGAGCTGGGAGCCCTGCTGGGAAGAGGCAGGTGGGGATGGCTGTGCCTGGGTCAGCAGCAGTGTGTCAGGGTGACAACCTGCGCCCAGCCTGGGGAGGGGCAGTTCCCGTTCTGCAGGGTGCTAGAGCCGTGAAAGTTTCTGTACGGCACTGCCGGCACATGTGGCGCCCTGAGAGAGGGTGGGAGGGAGAGCACTGGCAGGGCCCCTACCCGAGGGGAATCCATCGCCCCCACCCCTCCCGGCAGTGCCAGGGCTGTGCTGAGAACAGGCCCTGTGGGTGGCTGGCTGGGGCAGGGGTCCCTGCCGCAGGGGGGAGCGTGCTGTCCTGTGCAGACAGGGCCAGACAGACGGCACCGGGCTGCCTCCTGCAGGCCTGCACCCAGTAACGTCTCTCCCCGCAGGCGGTACACGCGCTATTTCGGCAGCGCAGGGGACGCGTGCCCGGCCCTCTCCCACTATGCGCTCACGCACTATGAGCAGTGGGAGGAGAAGATTGAGAGCTGGCAGAGACCCATCTTGGAGAGCAGGTAGAGTAGTCGCCTGGCTGGTAGCCGGGGCCATCTCCAGTGGGGGGGGAGCCCCCTGGGGCCGAGGGGAGCCCCCTGGCCAGGCCTCAGACAGGGTCGGGTAGAATTGACAAGCCGCTGCTGTCACCAGGGGTCTGCAGCGTTGGTTTGGGGCAGGTTTGGCCTCCTGCCAGCAGCAGAGTGGCTCGTCGGAGGGTCCCTGCATCCCCCCAGTGGCTGGTCCTGCTGCACCCAGCTCCCGAAGTGTGGGGTGGCGCGCGTGCTGCTCCTGCGTGTGCACGGGGGCGGGTGTCTCGCTGTGCTCCCCGATGCGGGGGGCCTCTGGGGGTCTCCTTTCAGAGTCTGTCACCCGGTGGGTGAGCCCCATGCCCGTGTGTGGGCAGGTGCCGGGCCCCGGGGCCGGTTCTCTCCTCGCCGGTTCCCTTAGGCCAGAGCCGTGGGGCAGAGCTCCTAGCGGGGTGTCTCCACTCCTTGCTTCCCTGGCTCTCCGGGGGCAGGGGAGGCTGCGCACACGCAGGCCCAAGGCGCTTGCTGTTGTCTGGAGAGCGGAGCTGGCTGAGCCAGGCCAGGCTGGCGCTTAGCCCCTGGAAGGGCCCAGGAGCTGGAGCTCCCAGCTGGCCTGAGAGGCCGGTCGCTCCTGAGCTGTGAGCGGTTCCCTCAGTGCAGCTGCTGGGGCGGGCTGGAGCCTGCATCCCCTGCGGCCTTCTGTCCTCTCTCCGATGGGAGATGGGGGTGGGCAGGTGTGTCTGAATACGCTGCCCCCCAGCTCTGTGTCTCAAGGAGGGCCGGGGGGGGGCCCTTCCTGGGGTCTGAGGAAGGGGTGGGTTGGGTTGTAGGGCTCCTGCCCATGAGGCCGGGCTGTGGCTCCGTGAAGGGGGATCCACAGAGGCGACATATTCGCTCTCCCATCTGTCCCTCTCGCCCACAGCCACCTGCCCCCCTGGTACAAGTCGGCTCTCTTCAATGAGCTCTACTTCGTGGCGGACGGCGGGACCCTGTGGCTGGAGCTGCCCCCGGAGGCCTGTGCAGAGGATGTGCAGGGCCCAGCGGGGGCCGGGCTGTCCCAGATCTTCCCTGTCCTGCGGGAGTACGGAAGGTTTGCTTACTTGGAAGGTAATGTGCAGGGCTGAGAGCCGCAGGGCGAGGGTCCCACTCACCCCTCCCGACTGAGCCTAGGGCAAGGGGCTTCTCACCCTCTGGGGCGGTCTCGCTGACCCACTTCCCTCAGGGCGCGGGGAGGGAGCAGCTTGCCCCCCCATGGAGTCCATTGGGGGCTGCACCCCCTCGCCCAGGCCGGGGGCGCTGCCTCGCCGCTCACAGCCCCCAGGAAGGGCAAATTCCCTGCTAGGCACAGGGCCGGGGTCAGGGCCCAACCCCTCGTCCCCTGCTCCCTGTCTTGTGTGGAGGGGTGGGGACCTCTGGTGCCCCTGCGGCCCCCCGGCAAGCTCTGCCCCCCTCACTGTCTGTTCTGGGCTTCCAGGCCAGGAGTACCGGATGTACAACACCTACGACGTTCACTTCTACGCCTCCTTCGCGCTCGCCATGCTGTGGCCCAAGCTGGAGATCAGCCTGCAGTACGACATCGGTGAGCGCCCAGCGGGCCCTGCCCCCAGCCCGGCCCCCTGCCCAGCCCGGGCCCCTCGGCGGGTTCAC